AAAAAAAAATAACAATCTGCTACAATAAATAGATGAAATACAGCCTCAATAAAATATTGTTTTTTAAAAATTATTTAAACAATTGACAACACCCATGTAGGTGCACAGTGTTGCATTTATGCAAAACAAGTGAATGTACTAATAATATTCGTTTTTATTTTGTTTCAGAAATAAGAAAAGAAGAAGTTATGGCTATTAGAAATAGATTTCCTACAAAAATCCCAGTGAGTACTCCAAGCATGTATTATTACATTTATGTATAGTACTTACTATCCATATGTACTTACTTTTGAAAAGCACATTTTCATACTAAAATGTTGTACTTACACAAAACAAAAAAGAAACAAAACAAAGTCGATAGATAACAGAATTAAATTTTTGTTATTTTTAAATGTTACATCTTTTCGACACGTGTATTGAATTGAAAAGAGCTTTGTGTGGACTAAGCTTCTGCACTGCCACCCCCTTTTCCGTAGTTAATCTAATAAAAACCCTTTAATCGAAAAAAAAACTTTTAATCTTATTTACCGGCTTAAGTGATCAGTATGCTGTGAAAATCTGATGTAGGGTTCATTTTACAAACCACCTACCTACTAAAATTGTCTATTTTGCATCAATAATAAATTAACCCCTCAACCCTTAAAAAAGAAAGAGAAAAGTATTGACTGATTGTCAATTAATTGGGGGTATATTGGAGTAAATTATTTAAAGGTGTGACTTTAAATTATTAAATTAATAAGTACTTAATGGATAGAAAGTTGCCAGTGTGTTGTCCTTTTCTTAAAAAAAAGGCTTTTTAGTTTTTTTGTAAAAAAAAACAAAACGGTTTTTTACTCAAAAATAAAAATTATCTATGACATTTTTGATTATTAATGGTGGTTAATATGAAATATTAATGTGAAATGTCCATCCTCTACAAACTACCTCAGTTTATTGAAGGAAAAAATTTTGTTGTTGTTGTCCCCGCTGGGAATCGAATCGAATCGAATAAAGCCAAAAGTCCCGGGTTCGTTTCCCGGCGGGGGTGCGACAACAGCGACAAAAATTTTCCTTTCATTACTCTGAGGTAGTTTGTAGTGAATGGAAAATTGAAAATGAATTTTCAAATTATGTAATATTAAATATTATCTTATTTTTGCGCAGGTGATAGTACAAAGATTTTCAAAGGAAACAAATCTACCCCAGTTGGATAAATCTAAGTTTCTAGTTCCTCAAGAAATAACCATGTCTCAATTTCTAACAATTATCAGGTAAGATTTTTGTATTTAGTATATATATGTACACGTAAGCACATTTTTGGAATTAAAACAAAACAATAATTGTCAATAAAAGAGAACAATTGAGATCCACTTGTGAAGACCCGGAATTAGAATTTTTCCTAATAACATAATTATATGTAATTTGTTTATAAACATGATGTTGTAATGATAAGACATTCGCTTAAAAAATGTTGAATTACGGAAACAAAAAACGTCTCGATTGTGTCGTCATCGCGTATGCGCACATCGAATGTCTTTACAAATTCACAGATACCTTTGACTGCTCTGATCGGAATCTTTGGAAAATTGTTTTTTCGCTGGGGATGCTTGGTAACAAAACACGTGATGCATCATCTGAACCTGTTTCCAATTTCCGTACGAAAACCTGACCAATTCGTGCTCTCTGACCTACATGGGCATTTTAAATTAAACAAGTGTGAACATTACGATGAATTAAATACCTCCGCTGTGGAAAAGCATTGCAAAACACTGTACAAAAGATCGCTGCACATGCAAAAAACATGACCACCTGTTAACAGGTAATGGAGCATTTGCGAGGTCAGATTGGCAGGGACACTGCCACAAACTACCAAAAGACTTGTCGATTCTGACCATACCGAGTGGTCGGTACAATTTGCTGGAAAATCGTACAGGGTGTATCTAAAAAGGTACCCTTTATTGTTTCACCTGTTTCTAAAGCGAACTGTTCTTACTTGTTATTGTTCAGTAGCGATTGTAGAACACTTTTGATGTTGCTTTTTGTTGTGCCAGAGTCGGCAAAGACGAGGACATTCGGAGGTTTCGAAACATTGCTTCTCGGCGTTGCTTTGACATCATTAACTTTGATTTCGATTTTTTCAGATTTGTTTGCTTCTAGCACACCGGGAATATCCTTTTCTTCAAAAGACGGTTCTCTTTTTAATTTTTTCTCCTCGCCATTTCTTAAATTCTGTTTGCGATGTTCATCTTCCTGTACCGTTTTTTCACCGTTTGGAACAACTGAAGCAGACGTTTGTCCNTTGTACGTCAATTATAGGCAATTATCTATGTGTACGATTACGATTCCAAGCATTTTAGTCTTCCAATTTTAAATAAGTAATAAACTTATTTGCTTTACATAATCGTTTACCTAAATTCAACAAAGTGCGTTACTCATGAACGACAAACAACAATGAAGAGGTCGTTTGTTTCGTCGAAGAGAAAAATAAAAACAAGTTCCATCATTCTCTATGTGTATCATGCGAGTGTGTTACACAAATGTCTTTAGTTTGTTAAATAAAATGTATTATTTTACTGTTTTTTTCCCATTTTGATAACACCACAGTCGTAAATAATAATGGAAAAATGATAAGGGGAACAATAGGGGGGTCGAGGATCAAATAGAAGAGCTGTTACTTGTTTGTGACGAACTGCTTGTTTAATTCTAGAATCATTGTACTACATAACAAAATGTCAGTTATTTTGTTTTACGGTAAATGTTGCATAAAACAAAAAAATGCTGCCCGAGTCTTTTGTTTTGATATTATATTGACAACAATTGCAGAAAAGAAACAGACGAATGTGCACTGAACTTCTGCATAAAAATACTCCAATATGAGTGGAATTATTTTCTATTACCGTCGAAATTACAATAAATGTTATAATCCTAAACAAGTTGTACAGTCGTATAACTTAATAAATTGACATTAGATACAATAAATCCAATAAAAATCAAATTTATGCAATAGTTTTTCATGTAAATGGAAAATTTTGCCAGATAATCGTAAACGATTTTGTTTTTAACATTTTGTGCGTACAAATTAGATTTATTTACTACATGAACATAGTTAAGAAAAAAATTTTCATTTCAATTATTTTGAAAGAGCGTTTGATAAAAAACAATTTAATTTCCCAACGGACTTGTAGTGTGTTACAGTGCCACTAATTAATAACGAAAGGTCAAAGAGTTCAAGAAAAAATCGGAGATATTTGTACTAGAGATATCTATTGGAGGAATTTAATAATCAGAGTTGTCTAATAGATATAAAAAACAATTTCATTCAACACCTTAACAATAATTTCATAATTTTCGTTTGTTTTAGAAATCGTATGCATATAAGTTCATCCCAAGCGCTGTATCTGTTAATAAACAATCGATCCATGGTAAGTTTGTCCCTTACGTTAGCCGAGGTTTACACAGAGCATTCTGGACCGGATGGATTTCTGTATGTCACATACGCATCCCAGGAAATGTTTGGTTGCCCAAAAAACAAACGATAAAAAAAAATAAAATCAAAACAATGCCTGTAAACATACGTAATATGTCGCGAAAGAGAATTGAATATGTTAAGCTTTTTTTTTTATATTTGTATGTGTATGCTATGTTCGTGTGTCTGTATTTGTTAAATTTAATTACAACCCTGTTTTGATGTTACCTCTAACCTAAGTCGCTCGAAAGTTACATTTCTCACAGCAAAATATTACAATGGAAAAATTAGGCGCCATGATTATTGTATTGTCCTGCTACGACCAAAACGAAAAACAAAAACCCCCTTTAAAGAATTCGTTAACGAGTTACAATGGAAATATATGTCAGTGATTGTTATATTGGCTTGGCAACGAGCCAAACAAAAACATAAAGCTCGCTAAAACAATTGCTTTACAAGTTACAATGGAAGAAATGGTAACGATTGTTATATTACTATGGCAACGAGACAAATATTAGACGAGAACCTCCTTCAAACAGTTGGTTAACGCATTACAACGAAAATGCATGGCAATGGTTGGTGCATTGCCTTGGCAACGAGTCGGACAGTAAACGGAAAACATCTTTAAACAATCGGTTAACGCGTTACAATGGATATGCATGGCAATGATTGGCGTATTGCCTTGACAACGAGCCGAACAGTAAACGGAAAACGCCTTTAAATAATTGGTTAACGCATTACAATGGACATGCATGGCAATGATTGGCACATTGCCTTCGCAACGATCCGAACAGTAAATGGAAAACATTTTAAAACAATTGGCTAACCCCTTACAATGGAAATTCATGGCAATGGTTGGTGTATTGTTTTGGCAACAGCCGAACAGTACACGGAAAACACCATTGAACAATTTCTTAACACGTTACAATGGAAATACATTACAAAGATCAGTGTATTGCCTTGATAACGAGCCGAACAGTAAATGGAAAACACCTTTAAACAATTGGTTAACTCGTTACAATGGAAATGCATGGCAATGATTGGCGTATTGCCTTGGCAACTAACCGAATAGTAAAATACAGTTCCTTACAAAAATTGCTTGATAAGTTACAATGGAAAAAATGGAGCGATTGTTTTATTGCTATGGCAACAAGTCAAACAGTGAACGGAAAACACCTTTAAACAGCTGTTTAATGTTTTACAATGGAAAAAATGGCACCGGTTATTGTATTGCTATAGCAACGAACCAAATATTAGACGAAAACACCTTTTAAACAGTTGGTTAACGTGTTACAATGGAAATGCGTGGCAATGATTTGTGTATTGTTTTGTCAACGAGCCGAATAATAACATAAAATTCGTTAAAAGAATTACTTAACGCGTTACAAAGGAAAATAAATGCGCTACAATGGAAAACTGTGGTGTTGTTTGTTGTATTGCCTTAGCAACAACAAATACAAACACTTTGCTGTCAGGGGGGAATTAAGTGTTGATTACAGTCATTTTGGTGTTGTTGTACAGAAATTTGTGCGGAACAATGTAGTTGTGGAAAAAATTGACTTAATCTACTTTTGTCATTTTAATTTGCTGTGGAAATGTAGAAATTTCTTTTTATTATGTATTGGACGTTCCTTATAATATTAGTAACTAATTTCCATTTTATTTTCAAAAACAAATGTTTAAATGACATTTTTAAATTTTAACGTAAGTATACTTATGAGACGAAAAATTAAATAAAACATAAGGATTTGATTTCTCTGTAAATAACGTTTAATCAAACAATTCCAAAGAAAAGAAATTAACTATTGAGGTATGAAAACGAAATTTTTATAAACTGGTGGAATGTTTTTATTGATTCTCCTTTCAATACTAACACAATAAAAAAAATTAGAAGACTGTTAGCTCTAAATATTATCCAAGTTCCTAGAATTAAGTTGTTACTTTATAAGAACTGATTTTAAGTATGTGCCTTGTTTATATTACAAATAAGTGACTCGCGTATTTCTATTTAATAGGTAACTTTATATTATTAAAACATTGCATTTAAATT